AGAGAGAGAGAGAGAGAGAGAGAGAGAGAGAGAGAGAGAGAGAGAGAGAGAGAGAGAGAGAGAGAGAGAGAGATTTTATTTGTTTCGTTTCTTTAAATTAGTTTTTGTGGAACTCATGTGACAGGAATATTTCTACTTTCTACTTTTTTAACATTCTGCACGACTCTTTCCTTTTCCGGTTAACTGGCCGTGTAATGGCTGCGGCCTAAGATATAAGTCTCTTACAAATCCGTCTAAATCGTAAGAGAAAAAGAAGTTGAAGCAAGATGTCTCAAGAACAGATGACTCTGAGGGGTACCCTCCAAGGGCACGGTGGATGGGTTACTCAAATTGCGACCAATCCTCAATATCCAGATACCATTCTATCTGCATCCCGAGGTATGTTTTGTTTACAGTTTTGTCCACGATGAAGTGTGGTGTAGACAATTATGGTTCGCCTAATTTAAAACTTTTGTTCTTCGAAATAGTTGAATAGCATTATATAACAATTTTTAACGTGTTAGTTTCACATGAAAACATTCTGGTAACCACCTGAAGTGAAATGATGACATGAATGATGGAATGAAAAGTCTCTCAAATTGCCCAAATCTCGAACGTGAAGGAGTGAGGTTCATAATTGTAATGATGTAGGAAATCTGATTTGTGACAAACAAGTTCTGATTATATGGCAATAAAGGCTTTTATTTCACTGAATGGAGCATTCAATATTTTATGGGACTAGATTTCTAGATCTAGATCTAAATCTAGATATGGCACTCCTGTCCGTTTGTTTACATGACGACATTGTGGAAGTGAATCAGTCATCATTTAGTAGTCATGGAACAGTAGGCCCCACTTGACATGTGGTGCATAAATGCCGTAAATAATGCCCTATTTTTCAGAGGACTTCCGTAACAAGCGACCACTATAAGACAGAGCAGAATTTAGGGGTAGGGTTAGAGTTAGGCCTCTGTCTTTATAATTGTATTTGATGGGGTGGTCGCTCGTTACAGAAGTGCTTCCCCATTTTTTTTCTTTGACTTCTTGTCCATATTGTAGTTTCTGGTTATTTAAGATTTGCTATTGCTGTGATTTTTTCGTTTTTTTTCTTGTTTTTAGGTCAAATTCAAAGATGGTTGCTTTCAAAATGTCGTACACGAAGTAGGCCCAGTAGTGTAATATCTAGGCCTAATTTAACCAAGTCAGCCTGGAAAATGAATCAATCCTAACGACTCAAGCTAGAATCTAGACTAGATTCTAGATCTGTCAAATGCATACCGTGGCATGTGTACATTTACCATCTAGATCTACTCTCCATAGGCACACAGTTGCATGTGGCTGTTTTAAATCTTCCAAAGTCAAAGGAGTCAGGTGCATGACATACAAAAATGTAATGGCTTTGTGACTTGTTTACTCATTTTTATGTCTATTCTTGTTACTGTTTCACTGCTCTGTTTTAATGGAATGATGTTTTGTTTTCCCCCCAGACAAGAGTCTTATCTTGTGGAAGCTGACCAGAGACGAAACCAACTACGGTGTGCCCTTCAAGTCTCTGCATGGGCATGGACATTTTGTCAGTGATGTGGTGCTGTCCTCTGATGGCCAGTTTGCCCTGTCATCTTCCTGGGACAAGACTCTCCGTTTGTGGGATCTTGTTGAGTAAGTTTGTTTTCAGTGGTATTTTGTACAGGGAGTGTATACAGACCCGGTAACCAGGAATAAAGTCACAAAGTATACAGACCCGGCAGGGGAACTCTTTTGTGATTTCGGAAAGTTTCAGCACCCTCTTGGCTCAGGGTAGAACCACAGAATTCTGTGGGTAGAACTAGGTTCTTCTAGATCTAGACAGACAGATATAAATCATTGATCTATTTCGAGGCTAGCCTAGATCTAGATCTAAAACTAAATGAAGATTGCGGATGTCTTTTCGATGAACGATCGTTTTTCCCCTGTTTTGGAATTGGAGGAATCACAATTTGAAGAAAAGAACAGTGTCATAATTTCAATCGAGCAGTCACCCCCCCCCCCCCCCTCTCTTTCTTTCTCTATCTCTCTCTGTGTGTATCCCTCGCATTCTTTTTTTCTTTGTTTGTCTCTGTCTTTCTTTCCCTCCTGCCAACTGGCGGGCATGTCATATACATTTTGCTAGCACTTTCCCCTGCTCTCTCTCTCTAACTCTCTCTCTCTCACACACACACACACACACTACCGGCTCTGGGGGCTGAAACTTTCCGAAATCACAAAAGAGTTCCCCTACCGGGTCTGTATACTTCGTGACTTTGTTCCCGGATACCGGGTCTGTATACACTTCGTTTTGTACATATGTATTACCTATAACTCATGACGCAATGAAATCAGGCACTCATCGATTTTTGGGCATATGGGGTTTCTGGTATAATCTTAACCGTGGAAGCGCGCAGGCCCTATATTAGCAATGCCAATTGGGCTTCCGCGCGCAGGGAAAATTTGGTTCCCATATCTTCCCTCTATATAGTGTGTTCAAATTCGAACCTTCTGTGTTAAGTAGTCGTGTAGAATTTATCATAAATGCACAACTACCCCCCTGTCCCAAGCGGCTTCGCACGGAGACCGGCCATTTTCCCCTCTCTCCTTATGCAAATGTCTATGACCTACAATTCCTGGCATGGATCCCCATTCACGCAGGTCAAGTGTGTGTGTGTGCGTCAGTCTGCTTGAGTTTGTGGCTTTCTTCTAGAACCGCCTGCGTTGGTTCGTAATCGAGGCATACTTCTCATTCAAAACATGTCAAGTTGGTAGCTCTTGATGTTCGTCCAATGAAATTATAGAAGAAATTGATCCACTTAGAGATGAGGAGCTCCAACGGATGGTCCGGAAACAAGACTTTCATTCTATACAAAATATTTCAAATGAGCTTGATTTTGTATGAAATGATACAACCTGATAAAAAACAAGCTTGTTTGATAGTTTTGCATACCATTGTGCAGGTGCAAAGAACAATTAGAGTGTAAAACATTCGGAAATTGACCTAAATTATCCCCTTTCGAACCTCAGGTCATTCATAACAACGAGAGTCCAGAATTAAAAAGGTTATTCGAATGGGCGTAACTACTCGTAATGTCTTATCAGCTTGTGAGAGGGGGTTATTTATGTGTTTGTAACACTTTATAAATAGAAAGCTATGAAAGATAGAGCATTATTTTCATCATTGATTAACACACTCCCGCGGTATTCAGGGCAAAAACACACATTTCCCGACGCGCGCGCTGTACACCAACAGTACACACTGAGTGACCCCGGCAGCCTGCCCGGCACGTCCGACGTAATTGGTTGCTGATAAGATATGCATCTGGGCATAGACGCAGGATAAGAGTTAAAATTCAAGAAGCATAATTCTTTGAATTGAAAATACTTTCTTAGTTACCAAATAAAAAGGGGCTAAAGCGAAAAATTAAATTTTCTTTGGCATTGCTACCTATATAAAGGGTGTGAGCCAGGCCACCCAGGAAGCGCTCAGGCCCTATATATATAGGGCTGAGCTACTTCGACTGGGAAGCGTGCAGGCCTCATATAAGGTAGATGCTGACCTGTTTCAGTGAAAAATTTCAGTATTCCTTATATGGAAAATAACATAGTAAATAACAGGTCAAAGTTATAAATAGTTACCAGTGACTTTGCAAGTTATCTTGACCTCGTAGAGTGTCTCCTGACCGAAATATCGATTGATAAAGTGACGCGGTCCAGCTGAGCGACTACACGCTATGTGTCATCACTTGTTCCGCTGTGCTAATGTACTAACTGTTGGGTTTATTTCATTTTGCTGTTTGTTTGTTTTTATTTGATCGCTTATCTTTTTTGAATGGCTCATACTATGAGCTTAAAGAAAACATGGTTTTATTTATATGCCTTTTATCATCTGTTGAGCCGTAAAAAGTTACTTTTCAGTAGCAGGTATACATCTCAGGAATCTCAGCTGATATTCCCCCAGCCTAACCTCCATGTTTACAACCGATCGGCCGTAGTGGCGGGATACTTCCGATGAACGCTGAGTGCTTCTAGGGTTAAAGCCTGTTCATTTGCCTTTCTTTTAATAAAACGTATTTTTCAAGTCGAGGTATCTGCGGTGGAAGGAGGTGAAATTAGTGGGAAAATAGCTGCCAAAGCTCGATGATAAAGCATAATAAGACAAATTGAGGATGGTAAGGGTTAAATCTTACAGAAACGTCTGTGGTCACTAGTGAGGTATCAATTACTTTTGATAGGCAAATGTTTATCTGGTGCATTGCCTTTCTCAGGATGGTCTGGCTTTTCTTTTTGGCTTCCCTTATTGTCATGTTGGAATAGTAGTATGACCGGGCTGTAAAAATGTCACCATTTTTATTATTTTTTCGCTTGTTTTTAAAAAAAATGTAATCTGAAATTTTGTTCCCTCCTTTTTATAGGGGCAAGACAACTCGCCGATTTGTTGGCCATGAGAAAGACGTTTTGAGCGTTGCCTTCTCTGCCGACAACCGTCAGATCGTGTCTGCTTCCCGTGACAAGAGCATCAAGTTGTGGAACACTCTGGGTGTGTGCAAATACACCGTGCAGGTATTTTGATTTTCACATTTTGTCCCATCACCCCTTATTTTTATTCTGGTTTTCTGACCTTGTGAAAAGAGCTTTGATTTTTGCATGGAGTTTACCCTGAAAATAATCTTACCTATCAGGTAATTGGTGCCTGGTGATTACACAACTGGCATAATGTTTTTGATGAAAGTTGTTCTGCAATTATGAAGGCACTGTTTTTAATAGTTATATTTTTGCTGTAAGTTATGTATAGGAGCACCAGAAGTGGATTTTCTTTCTGTTGCAGGTGGAAACTGATTTAACTGTTTTTTAAACTTTCCCTTTAATTTAAGTGAATGTCTTTGAATTTTGTAGTTGCTTAAAAAAAATAGTTTGGGTTTAAGGCTCAAAAGACTAAAAATACCAATAATATGTCTTAGTGGGGAGAACTATTATTTTGGAGGGTTCACATTTCATAAGCTATAGATTTTTGTATTGTCTGTGTTAAGTAGTATTCTGTCATATTATGCACCGCAGATTGAACTTGTTAATGTCAAGAAAATTATCTATTGACATATGCAGACATTACGATTGCTTCGAGCCGTCCACACCCTTTTACCTTTTGGGAGGGGGGGGGGGGTGAGACAAGCTTTAACGTCCTCATATTCCTGGGCTCAGTTGGTTTTTTAGGTTAAAACCTGAAGCTCCAGCTACAAAGTAGATATAATGAACAATGGATGCCTAGTGATTACACACATGCCATACATTTTCTGATGAAAGTTGTTCTGCAATTATGAAGGCTCGCTGTTTATCGTAATTATATTTTTGCTGTGTTATGTATAAGACCACCAGAAGTTGATTTTCTTTCTGTTACAGGTGGAAACTGATGTGACTTTAAAAAAAATTTCCTTTTAATTTAAGTGAATGTCTTTGAATTGTAGTTAAAAAATAGTTCGGGTTTAAGGCTTAAAAGACTAAAAAATACCAATAACATGTCTTAGTGGGAAGAACTATTATTTTGAAGGGTTCACATTTCATAAGCTATAGATTTTTATAATGTCTGTTAAGTAGATCTAGTATTCTGTCATATTATGCACCGTAGATTGAACTTGTTAATGTCAAGAAAGTTATCTATTGACATATGCAGACATTACGATTGCTTCGAGCCGTCCACACCCTTTTACCTTATGGGGGGGGTGGGTGAGACAAGCTTTAGCGTCCTCGTATTCCTGGGCTCAGTTGGTTTTTTAGGTTATTTATGTCCAATCATTTTGTAAACCTGAAGCTCCAGCTACAAAATAGATATAATGAACAATGGATGCCTAGTGATTACACACATGCCATACATTTTCTGATGAAAGTTGTTCTGCAATTATGAAGGCACTGTTGTTTCTGATGGACTTTTGTTTAACACATTGCACTCTAAGGGTGTGGACGGGAAGTCTGTTCCTAAATCCTAAGTAATGGGGAAGGAACCCATCGCCCGTGAATACAAGCATTTAAAAAATACTAAACAAATTTCAAAATTCCGGAAAAAAATAAAACTTAGAAAGACATTGTAATTTAAGAAAAAAATACTTTATATATGCACAAACTCTTGGAAAGGTTTTAACTTCAGTTCAGTTAGGGTGTCCGACATGTCACTTTAAATCTCAGCCTGGCAGTCGAGCCCTAGATCAAAATTCTACATCTGATTAATCTCAATATCTGATTTGTCATTAGCTTGTCCTTGCTCAAATCCATTGTTATTTCTTTTTTCGAACTCAATTGTGTTGCTTTTCAACAAGTCGAGACACGTTACATTAATGTCTGATCACAAGCTTCTAGACATCGTTAGAAATATAGGGGGCATGTGGAAGATTTTAATCAATTCTATCTTAAGACTAAGTCGGACGTGTGAAATGGTGACGTTTTTTTTTTTGGTGTCTTTTTGCTCTATTAGGAGGACACTCACAAGGAGTGGGTATCGTGTGTTCGCTTCTCGCCCAATGCCTCCAACCCCATCATTGTGTCTTGTGGATGGGACAGAGTTGTCAAGGTTAGTATTTATTTATTTAATTATATTTTTGTCTTCTTGGTTTGGCTGGTGATGTGAGGTGCTAAAAACTGTCGTTGGTTAGCAATACCAATTTTTAAAAATTTTGATTTTTCTCCGCTATTTTTCATTTGATATCTAAGAAAGGGTTTTTTATTCTAACCATTGCTTTTTTTTTAATATAAGGAATTGGTTTATAAATAAGAAAAGGTTGTGGGGGTTGTAAAGTTGGGCAAAACATTGATGATCCGTATATATATAAAATACTCTAAAAAAGTGGACCACATAACAACAGATTATGTTTGCGGAAGCTACGACATTTCGGTAATTATTCATTGGAGCAGTGAATACTGGTCAAATCCCCACCGTCTTGACCCATTGCATGGTTAGTCAGAACAGTTAGTTGATGGAAAAACCGGAGTGTCTTGCAATTTCTGGTGTTTGGTTTTTAAAAAATATTTAAATAGCTATTTCTAGCTTTTAGATGACACTGAATCGGCTCCAGACTTTTCCAGCTTTTCTTTCTGTTTCTATGACAGTTTGCACAGATTGACCATTTTCTGATATCTTTACATTCATAAAAATGCCTGTGCACATTTGACACAACTATTGTTTATATTCCATACAAGAAGATCTCTACCTATTTGCACAGTTTTTGTGGGGGGTTTTAAAGTCTCGCTTATCTGTTGTAATTGTATGCAGGCTACCACAGACACGGCACAACTCATGAAGAAACAAAGTGCCTTTCTCATGTGTGTATTTAATGTTAGAGCAGGAGCCAACTCTGAGAAGGCATGGTCAGTTTAACACAGATTTTGCAGAGATCTGTTGACCTGTTTTTGAATCAAGTCTTTTTATTCATACGTATGTAATTAAAAATACGACACATTTAGTACCTTACAAACACTTGTCTAGAACAAAAACTAAGGCCCAGAAAATAACTATTCCAACGAATGTCTCGAAATATTGAGCTTTTATTTTATCAACATCAATGTAATGGTTTGCTGTGCGGGATGGGGAAGAAACTATTCTGCTTTAAAAGTTGACAAAAATGTGAACTTCTTTACAGACACTGGCTAAGTCGCTCATTGACCGCGAGCCGGGGAGCAGCAACGGGCTGCCGAGCCAGGCTAAGTCACATAATCAGATGAAAAGTGATGCCGTGGAGTGAAGATGATTTATTTATCAAGTCAAGATGCATTGGAGCAGTTGCAAAATATTGTACGAGGGTCTGTGGTTTAGTGTTAAGACTATTTGCCGATGAACCAGAGTGCATAAAGTAATATATCAGAGTAGGGAGAGAAAATCTTAGGACTGGACCCTGAGGTTTGGTTGAAGCATCAAATCTGGATTATTTAAATCCTGTCAAGGGGTTGCAAAAGAATTAAAACGGCAAAAAAAAATTGATCAAGCAGTGCAGTGGTTTTGGGTTTGTTTAAAATGAAAAGAAATTTTTAAAAATTTCGTGTCCCCCTACACCGGTGGCTGAGAATTATTATTACTTTTGGTTTTTTTGGCTAAAATTTTTTCAGGTTTGGAATCTGACCAACTGCAAGCTCAAGACCAACCACTATGGACACACCCAGTTCCTGAACTGTGTTACAGTTTCTCCTGATGGATCCCTGTGCGCTTCTGGTGGAAAGGTAAAGTTAAAAAGATGGAATTTCATATTTAGTGCAACTTTTCTGTATGAGGTCAAATGTGTCAAAATATTAATTTAGTACGGGTGAATAACATTTTAGTGTTTCTTTCATTTTCATGTGTTTAGAAAATGTCCTTTGAGTGACTTTGGTGTTGGTGTTCAGCTGAAAGAAACAGCAGTATTCCGTCTGGACTTTTCAAAACTTCATAAGATTCCAATGCTGCCTTGCTAAACTTATTCTTATATCCGTAGCTTTTAAATTGTTTTTGCTTTTGAAATTCCAGTAGCTCTTAATATTTTTTTGTGGGTGGTTAGTGGATGCTCTAGTGTGGTTTGCTCGTTCTTTCCTGTCAAACGTCTGTCATGCTCATCTCCCCTCCTTTTTTTTTTTTTTTTTGTGTGTGTGTTACTCTCTTGTAACACCTCTAATCAGTGGTGTCGGTGAGATTGCGGGTCTGGGGATTCGAGCCTCCGCTCGACCTGGCGTTTTATCCTTGGTAAAGGCACTTTACACAACTTACCAATTGGGGTGGTCCTCTTGGAGGTCCCCGCCTCTTAAGAAGCTAATAGCGTAAATTTTTTACTGCATAAAGTCATATGAGCGCCTAAGTGGGTTTGGAGGGGGGGGGTGTTTCGACACCTTTTATGTTAAGCGCTAAAAAAAATTACCTCATCACCTATTATGTCCATTTAAAAGCACACTTCTGTGTAGATTTTACTGGCAAAAGACCATTACACAAAAAATGTAAATTTGCAGTTTCCAAGAACCTTCAGGCCTTGAAAATCACCAAAAAGTGCTTTACTGTTCTTATAAAAGAATTTATTCAAAGTTGCTTTACTTTTCTTTTGTTGAAATGACTATCAGTGGGTGGTTGATGGGCACTCTGGTGTGGTTTGCTCCTTCTTTCTTATCAAACATATATCGGTGGGTGTTTGACGGGTGCTCTTGTGTGGTTTGTTTCTTCTTTCCTATCGAACATCGATAGTCCTTATCTCTTCTCCTTTTTTGTGTTTGTTGCTGTCTTGTAACACCTCTACTCTTCGGCACTTATATGACCTTATTGTGTTGCAAGTGCTGTAAAACACTTACTAAAACTTTTTTTTTTAAAAACATCGTCCTTAAATCTCTCCTCCGTTTTTTTTTTTAAGGTACTCTGTCTATTGACACCTCTTATCATCTTGGATACTTATATGACCTTATTGTTGCTAATGCTGTAACCCTCTTACTGACCAAACTTTTTTTTGTCATGATGAGAGCTTGTTTTGTGGGCGGTTGGTGGGTGCTCTGCTCCTTCTTTCCTATCAAACAACTATCGCCCCCCCTCCCCCTCCTTTTTTTGTGTTTGTTACTCTCGTGTAACATCTCTAATCGTTGGCACTTGTATGACCTTATTGTTTTGCAAGTGTCGTAAATTTCTTACAAAAACTTCAGAGGTTGCCTTTCACTGCTGACGTTTGCTGGTTTTGGTTTCTCTTCAGGACGGACAGGCCATGCTCTGGGACTTGAACGAGGGCAAGCACCTGTACACCCTGGACGGCGGTGACGCCATCAACGCAATGTGCTTCTCTCCAAACCGCTACTGGCTGTGCGCTGCTACTGGACCCAGCATCAAGATCTGGGTGAGTGGCTATATGTTTTTATATTTATAATATATATATATGATGTGCTGTTTTCCTACCATTCGCTTTTCTCTTATGAACGATATTTTTGTGAGTCAGATTTTGATTCAAATGTATTATTGTGCACTTTTCTGCAGTGCTCTCTCCAAATTGAGGGATCCACTTTCACAAAGGTGCTAAAGAATAACTGGTAGCCAGCTGATTAGTTGGTAGTGTATTCTGCCACACCATTCTGATTTGCTACCCTGACATACCATCTTAAATATTATCCTATATTGGTTTGGACAAAAGGTTCCTGTTTCTATGGTACTGAATTTTACCACTTCTTGATGGTTGAGCACAAGAAATTACTCTATCCACTTTTGGTCGAAATGGAGTAACCGATATGGCTAGTGAGATTTTAAGCTGCTCTTTTACCTCTGTAAATATATACGTCATAGCTTAATTCGGTATCAAGATGTGAACGTTTCTCTTTTTTTTTACCATTATAGAGATTTCAATACTGTCAAAATTTCAAAACTTGTTTTTCTCTAAACGGAAAAGTGGATATAGTTACTTCTTGCACTCAGCCTTCGTTATTGTGGTGTCTTCTTTTGCCTTTGGCAGCACATCGTTTGCTTTCAAAGAAACATACTTTGTTACACAGTTGCCTATGAGATCGGCCCTGCCAGTTTCATGACAGGAAATGGGCCGATCTACCAGAGTTAGGGATAAACATTTACCTGAACACTACATTGTTGTACTTGGGAGGAGGTGTTTTTATGTTGAGCATGGTGTGAAAGTTGTGAGTATCAGCTGCACTTGAAACAGACCACATGATGAATTGAAACAGTCATACCTCATTATCTGTTATTCTCAAACTTATATTCTCAAACTTATAAGACTACATTTTCTGAGATGTTTTGAAAAACCTGTATATTTCTATCTCACATTTTTCAAAACATGATATACATTAGATTTGTGAATGAGCATGTACATTTTTCATGTCGGCCATCGTGGATTTCAAAGTAACATAACCCCATATAAATTAAATTCAATCAAATCATATGTTCAAAGACAAAATATAACGACCTTTCAAAAAATATATACTTTTGTAGGGTTATTATTTGATACATGCTCATAAATTTGATTTGTAAAGTATTTTTATTTCATGTTCATAATTTTTTTTCCCATTGTGCTGCACTAAATTATCATCATAATGAACGTAATTTTTTCCCCCAGGATCTGGAAGGCAAGGTGATTGTGGATGAGCTGAAGCCCGACGTCATGGCAGCAGGAGCTGGCCGCGAACCCCCACAGTGCTTGTCTCTGGCTTGGTCATCCGATGGACAGACACTGTTTGCTGGCTACAGTGACAAACTGATCAGAGTCTGGCAGGTGTCTATGGCTGCAAGAGGATAAGCTCTGTTGTCACTGCGCTGTGACATATGAAGTTAGCCGTGTTTCCTTCCTAATATGGAATAAATTCTACGTCAGACAAATCTGCCAATGCTTTGTTTTGTTGTGTGGTGGTGAGCGGAAAGTTTTGTTGTTTAAAGGCTATTTTTTTTGGTCAACTTGATTTGATAAGATTTTTATCTGAATTATTGGCAGGAATTGGGAGTGTAGCATCAGAAAGTGTGCGAGGAGTTCTGTTTTGTTTTTATTTTACGGCAGTGTTTTGGGGCCACACTGACTGGCAAGCAAATCTCTTGCTGTATTCTCTTTTAGATTGGGGTTTCCAGGTTTTATCCAAAACCTGTTGCTAGACTGAATACCGAATGAGAAACACTCTCTGGATCACAGCCAAAAATGATCGTTATAGACGGATAGCTGCTATGGGCAGGTCTTAGTTTTGGTCACTTTCTACAAGTATGAAATAGACCTGCATGTTTGCCAACAATCGCGAACCGGCCGATGCTATCGCTAGGCCCACCTGTAATAGTCAATGTGCGTAGTGCGAGGCCTTGCCGACTGCCAGCGACCCCTTTTTTTCCCCGTCGGCACTTTCGTTTTCGTGCCGACGTCGGCGTTTCCGACATAATTGTCGGAACCTAAGTAGAAATGCGAATATGGAAAAGGAAGACAACCTAAATTATCTACTTTCAGTTTCGTGCTCGAGCGGCCATTTTGAATTTCGTTTGTTGACTAATTCAATAGTTCAGATCGTGTGGATTCATTCAAGTCCGACTCTCTTGTTCTAATAGAATCTAGATCTAGATTTATATAGATCATTATAGACCTCAATGGAGGATTCATATTCCAATTCTATTGTGTCAAACCCTATCATAGGTTGTGCTGTAATATTAATATTGGTAAAAATAAGCATTTCATTAGGTGCGTGAATTATTTATTTATTTAGATCTAGAATCTAGACTCAGTTGAGTCCCTCTGTTCGGAATCGGATGCGGATTTCTAGTTCAAGGCCTATTCCTATTCACTTGTTCTACAAGATCTAGATCTAGATCAAACCCTATAGCAATGCAGATGTAAGCCATAGATCTAGATCTATGCTCCTTGTTTGTTTTGGAGTGTGGTATTTTAATTATATATTTTTTTTTTCATTTAGGACTTGTTTTGGCCTTTTTACATGAGGCCCGTTGCAGGTTCTTTTTGGGGTTAGGGTTAGGTCTCTTCTTTATTGTGTTTGTTGGGGTGGTCGCTGGTTACTCGGATGTCCTTCCTTATGACACCCACAAATGCTTTTTTTTGGGAGGGGGGGGGGGAGTTGCACAAAATTTTCAGACAATCTGGTTGAGGCTCACATGCAGGTCTAATGAAAGTAACTTTCACACAGTAGGCCTACAAGTAAACCACCAACACCAAGTCATAGAATGAAGCTAAACATTCCCTTCTGAGTTCCATAGCTGCCACTTTCCCGCTAAATAGCGGAAACTCCGCTACATCTAGCTTTCTCCGCAACTTTCCTCCTTCCTCCGCTGGACCGCTCTTGGTCGCAAATTTCATACTTTTTTTTCCACGTTGAAAACACCGAACCGGGAGAGAGACGAAAACGCGGTCTGCGCATGTCCGCCCGTAGCTCTCTACTTCCGTTCTTCTAGGCCCAACGCTAGTTTCACATTGTTTATTGTTGTGGAGCAACACAGTGTCGATCGGGCATTGGGATGTTAGCGCGCCGAGTTGTCATTGAAATTGGCGGAAATTGGAGAGAAATTGATTCAGAATGCAAAAATAAAAGGAGCTGGAATGAGAAAGAAGCAGCCGGTGTGCGACTTGAAAAGTTCATTAGAAAGTTGAACTAGCTGTTTTTTGCGAAAGAAATCGCGGCACTCCTGTTACAGTCCTGTACAATTGCGGTCCCGTTTGTTTACATGACGGATATTGTGGCTGCTGCGGAAGTGAATCTAGATCTAGATTTAGATCTAGAAAATCTATCTCTAGATATAATCTAGATCTGCACATATTTAGATATATCTAGATCTAGATTAGATAGCCTAGGCTATAATTTTAATTCAGTTTATCTCTAAATAAGAAACACACTACAGGGGCACTAAGTGCAAACGGGACCGCAATTGTACAGGAGTGCCTGTGTATCCTTGATCCGATACTGCTCTACGTCTATGTATGTACACGTTTAAAGTGAAAGAAATCTTTTTATGAGACACCAGCTGGCAAAAAACACTAGATTTTTAGTCACCAAGTCCAAACTGTGTCAATTTGACTCGAATGCTTGTTAGTCAACTTACTGCCTTTATGTTGTTTTTTTTCAAATACATTTTAATCCAGTTGCCTATGGTTAACAATATGACAGTTTTCCCTTCCAAAACCGTAGGCTAGATTTTCCAGTATATATTGCCTCTGGATCTCACTGGTTTCGGAGAGCGCGCATGCGCTTTCGCGTGAATTTCCTCCTTTTAAAAAATTTCTGAGTGGCAGCTATGTGAGTTCTCAATGTTATACGTTTTTGATTTTGTCTTTCTCTTTCATTTCTATGGGCGGTGCTACTGACTGAAGTGTCTTTAGGCCATTTCCAAAGGTACACAGTAGAATTGTAAATGGGCTGATTCATCAATGTCATGCTCATAAATGCCTAAACTGCAACAGGGAGCTGCTGTTTTCTCTGTCCTGTTGACATCCACCTCTTGGCGCTCTTATGACCTTACGCAGTTGCGAGCACCGTAAAACCTTTACTAAAATTAAATTTTAAAAAAGAATGCTGCCGAGTCTCACACACCCCCTCTATAGTGGTCATTCACAAAACAAAAAGACGCAAGAGAAAGCAAAAATGGAAGAAGAAAAAACCTGGCCCCAGCACAAGCATCTGGTGGCCACTGTCAAACATGAGACACTTACTTTCTTACGATGACTGCATGGCATTTACTGGTCAGCAGAAGTGTGTTATTACTGGCAGGCGCAAATGGTGTAGGCAGTGATTGTGGTCAGTTTGTTGGACACTTGCACATCATTGGGAAAGTGTGGGTAGTTGGCAGGTGCTCTGCTGTGGTTTGCTCCTTTCTTATAAAAAGTCTATTGCCTCTATCTCCCCTCCTTTTTTATGTTTGTTACTCCCTTGTAACACCTCTAATCTTCTGCGCTTATAATATACGACCTTATTGTGTTGCAAGTGCCGTAAAACTCTTACTAAAACTAAAATTGGGAAAGTGCTGCAGTAAGCAGTGTTTGGTGAAACCATAGGAATTACCTTTGATTACATCCGAAAACTGGTCATGGAAATGGATGAAAGATGCCATGGGCATCTCGAACCCATTACTTTTCAGTTACATGCCTGACGGTGTCAGCCTAACCACTAGTCCACTGTGACTGACTGACGCATTGTTTGAGGATGGCCAGATTTTCCTTCATCTTGAAGTTCATGGTCAGAGGAAAGCACAATTTGATAAAATCCTAAAACATTGCAGCTATTTTCACACTAATTTTTTTTCAAGGAAACCAGGCGACCCCCACCTCTTTCAACTGCAAATATCTCGACTCCTATTCTGGACAGATGGATACTTTTATTTTATCATTAAAAGCGGGGCAAATGAACAGGCTTGGAGATTTCAATAACCCTATGTGCCCAAAAATTTCTCAGCGTCGCGGCACAACAATTGATTTTTATGTCACGGCTGGCTGCAATTGTTGAAAACGGCCATTATCACTTCAGTAAGAAGGTTACTCCTACTGTAACATATCACAATACAGTCGAACCTGCCTTTACGGAAACCTGTCTTAACAGAATCTTCCCGCTCCCCCCTTGATATATTCCTCTAAAATGGTATAACTGTATAAAACGGAAACCTGTCCAATGCGGAAAAGGAAAGAAAAATCCGCTCCCCCCCCCGAGGATTTCACCTGTCCAAGACGGAACATGCTTTGCACGCTCAGCCCTGATTTGAAACAAAACTCGCAAGTTCGGTACCGCTGGCTCTACTAAACTAACGCTATGGTCATGCGGCTAGCCGGGGACGAGGAATAGGGGTACAATTTTGGGGTAGATGTTACCTCATCATGTGAGCCCTGAGCGATGCAGATGGTCAACAGTGTAGTGTGGGTGTGAAATCTCACGACTGCCCGTGAGAGTGCTCGAGTAGCGAGCCCCTACGTAAACTTTCCTGGGTCCAGAAGCCAGAGGTGTGAAATTAGATTGACCAATGCCTGCCGCCCTGATCGTACGGCCAGTCGAGAAAAGAGTTCCTTGAATTGTTGTTACAATGATGGCAGTAAGGGGTGGGGCTAAGGGTGGAAGTAAAGGAGATGTTCAAACGTTTCTGTTTTTAATAGGTCAAACAGTGGTCCTATGAAAGGCAAGCACTGGTGGTAATTGGATAAGTAAGACTGACGCATGTCTTTATCAGACAGGATAGCAATTGAGAGGTGTGACGTTTTGACCACTGCTTCCTTGATCCCACCGACTGGGCCTTTGAACCCCCCCCCCCCCCCCAAATCTCCACCTAAATTCCCCTGTCTAAGACGAAATTTTTTTCTGGCTCCCTTGATTCCGTCTTACACAGGTTCGACTGTACATGATATGTACACTGCAGGGTCAGACCGGTCCTGATGGACTTCTGGGCTAATTTTGAGGAAGAAAAGCAGAGGTCTATTTGATACAGTGTGCACTGGCTATACCCATACCCAATTATTCAAACCATGCAGACCTGTGGGCATCAGTTCTTAGACAAAGTCATAGACCAGTATAGTTGTCTCCATCTAATACTAAGAAGCACAGGGGGGTTTCCTTGGTTTTTTTGGGGGGAGGGGTAAGTTTTACGGTGCAAGCAACTGCGTACGGTCGTAATACAGTGGAGCTCGGATTCAACGAGATGAGATAGATTCCCCGTTTTTTTTCCTTCGTTAAAATCAATAAAAATAACCCGGATTCAACGAGCACTTAAATCAGCGAAATCGGATTCAACGATGTCGCTTCCAGGGTGAACAGTCAGAACAGCCCCCGCAGACGTGGCTTCGTTCATTTTTCTCCCAGAACGAACTTTTATCTATTCCCGGAAACCATCCATCGCAACTGCATCGTGAACCATTATTCACTT